GAAGATTTTTGGAAGTATAGGGTGGGCAATGTCATTGTGTTTCACGGGACCATTTTTGGGTCCCTCTGGGGATCTGGTGGACCAAAAAAGATTACCTAATAATCTGTCAATAAAGAGTTCCTAATCATCACCATCATCATCATCATCATCTTCATCATCATCCACCTCTTTGAAACCTTCAAGGGCTGTCCTTGAAGACAACACTGTTGCCAGTCTGTGGCTGCATCTGCACTGCCGAATTAATCCCACTTTGACACCGCTTTAAGTGCCATGATTCCAGGCTATGAAATCCTGTGATTTGTAGTTTGCTGTGGCAGCAGAGCTCTCCGATAGAGAAGGCTAAATATTTCACAAAATTACAAAATCCCAGAATTCCATAGTACTGAGCCATGGCAGTTAAAGTGGTGTCAAACTGGATTATTTCTGCAGTGCGGATGCAGTCTGTGTAAGATGAGAAAGGAGGACTTTATGGTCTGACACAGCACTAAGGTTGCTGCCACACTGCAGAATTCATGCAGTCTGATATCGCTGAAGACAATAATGATAAGAAATAAACTTCTTATAATTCTTTTAAAAATAATTATAAGAAATAAAGAAAATAATAAGAAAATAAACTTCATAGGTGACTATTTTTCCCCTTCTCACTATCCCAGTCAATGGAAAATCTGTATGGAGGGATTACCGGTCAAGGAACAGAGATAATGTCCGATGGCTCTGAAGATTTCAGTTCAAGTGAGTCTGACTTTTATTGTGATTTATAGTTCTTTGGCATCTTTGCCATCATCCCAGTCAATTGAATTTATTTGTATTTATTGTTGTTGTGTGTCTTCAAGTTGTTTCCGATTTATGGCGACCTTAAGGCAAACCTATCATGGGGTTTTCTTGGCAAGATTTGTTCAGAGGAGATTTGCCATGGCCTTCCCCTGAGGCTGAGAGAGTGTGACTTGCCCAAGATCTCCCAGTGGGTTTCATGGCCAAGCTGGGAATCGAACCCTGGTCTCCAGGGTCTGTAGTTCAATGCTTAAACCATTACGCTATGTTTCTGCAAACTACTGTTGCACTTTGAACTCAATTTGCAGCAAATGAAACAAACTGAGGACAAAAGAGGGAGGAAGGGAGAGAGAAACCAGGACATTTAAAAAGCAGCTGGATTAATTGGGATTATCCTTGCCAATTATACCATCCCACTTTTTCTATTACTTTTGCACTTTTAACTCATTTTGCATCAATTGAAGCAAGCTAAGGACAAAGAGGGAAGGCAGGAGGAGAAGAAAGAAACTGTGACATTTAGAAGCAGCTGGAAAAGTGAGAAGGCAAAGGATTAATTGGGACTATCAATGCCAAATCTGGACAGTTGGAGGGTATACCATCCCACTTTTTTATTACTTTTGCACATTTAATTCATGTTGCCACAATTGAAGTAAGCTAAGGACAAAGAGGGAAGGCAGGAGGAGGAGAAAGAAACTGGGACATTTAGAAGTAGCTGGAAAAGTGGGAAGGGAAAGGATTAATTGAGATTATCAATGCCAAATCTGGACAGTTGGAAGGTATGTGTATGTACCTACTGATAGCTAAATTACTGGTGACTTGTTATTTCAAGCAAGTAAATGCACAAAATGGGAAAAGATCAGAATTTGCACAAGTGTCTTTATTTTATGCCCCCAAACTTCTTTGCTTCCTGTCCGTCCTGGGCTGCAGTCCGACTGTCGGCTGAAGAGGTTGACATCCTTCTCCAGAAGTGTGAAGGCGGCGTGGCCTTTGCCCTAAAGTACGCCAAGAACATTTCCAAGTACATGAAGGACCTCATCTATTACTTGGAGAAGAGGACAACTCTGGGTGAGGAGGAAGAAGAAGGCTTGGGTGGTGGGGCAGGACAACCAAATCTGCATCCACATTGTAGAAATAATGCGGTTTGACACTACTTTAACTGCCACGGCTCCATACTATGGAATTCTGAGAGTTGTAGTTTGCTGTGGCATCAGAGGTTTGCTCAGGTTCCAAGAGATCTTTGTGTCTTACGGTGATGATTGCAGAAAAGAAATTTGGAGAGGTAATCTTTGGACTACAACTTCCATCTGTCCTTGCCGGCCACCATGCTCTTTGGGGCTGATTGGATCTATAGTCCAGCAACATCTGGAAGGCTGCCAAAAAGACACTTTAACATCCAGAGGTCAGCAAACTAGGTATTTTGGACTTCAACTCCCAGAATCCCCAGCTAGCTTGGCCAGCAATCAGGGATTCTGGGAGCTGAAGTCCAAAACATCTGGAGGATCAAGTTTGGGAATTGCTTGTGCAATAGATTTTGCAAAACTAGTGCTTCAGCTGGTGCAATAGATATCGACAAATAAGAATTGAAGAGAGGTGGGAAAGAAAGAAAATTATTATTATTATGATTACTATTATTATATTAATACTGTACAGTGAATCCTTGGTATCTTCTGGGGTTTGTTTCAGGGCCTTTGAATACCAAGATCTGTGGATACACAAATCCCATTAAATATAATTTAATGTAAAATGATGTCCCTTTTATAAAATGGCAAAATCAAGGTTTGCTTTTTTTGTGTGTGTCTATATATATTTGGAATATTTTCAAACCATAGATGTGTAAATCCGTGGAAAAAGAATCCATGGCTATAGAGGGCTGGCTGTATATATATTTGTTTTAGTTATGGCACTCAGGAACGAATCATGTCCAATTAAAATAGGTTTTACATTAAAATAGGTAACTGCAAACCGCAGAGTTTAAGAGTCCCTCTGCAGAGTGTTATTAGAAAGCTCTCTTTGAATAGAAAGTTTTTGAAGGACAACAAGTCATGCTAGTTTCCAGTGGCAGGGAGTTCCACAGACTCCTGGAAATGGGTGCCAAGAAGGCCTTATTAATATCCTTTTAATTTCCACCATATTCTGAGTCAGAGTTATCTGGAAATATGAAGCCACTCTCTCTCTCTTTTCCCCCTCCCAGAAATGGAGTTTGCAAAAGGACTTCAGAAGATGGTGAATACCTGCAAACAGACCATCACTCAGGAGGTACGGCCATTCCCTTGGACCTAGAATGCAATGCACTTATAATGCAGTTTGGGACAGAGAATTCAGCATGTTGCCCAAGAAGAGAGACAGACAGACAGAAAGGCAAGCATCCCTTGGCTCTCCAAGGGTTCATCAGTTGCCACCTGGGGATGATAGGAATTCCTACCCAACATCACACCGTCCCACATTTTGCAGATGGAAACAGCGACGCATGTGGCCAAGCAACATCAGAGACAAGATGGCAAAAGTTATCTATCTATCTAACGTATATATATGTTATAAAAGTTATACATATATATAGAATCAAGAATGCAAAAGTTGGCTATAGTTTTATATATATATATATATAAGTTATAAAAATGAGAGAGAGAGAGAGAGAGTAAAGATGGCAAAAGTTGGCTATATATATATATATATATATATATAAATATATATATATCCAGACATATAATCAAGATGGTAAAAGGTGATTATAGGTATACATGTAAGATATAAAATGCACGTATATAGTCAGGATGGCAAAAGGTGACTATAGATATATACCTTATTTTCCTGCGTATAAGACTACTTTTAACCTGCAAAA